TAGAGGAGTCCCAACTATGATTTCCACTTTTCTTTGTAAGCAAAAAGTTTTTCTTCCTTTGTGAAATCAGCTTGTTAGCTAGTAGTATGATCAGAGGGATGGAGCACCTCTCCTCTGAGGCAGGGCTGAGAGAGTCGGCGTTGTACAGCCTGGAGAAGAGAGGGCTCCGGGGAGACCTTATTGCAGCCTTTCAATACTTAAAGGGGGCTTATAAGAAAGATGGGGACAGACTTTTTAGCAGGGCCTGTTGTGATAGGACAAAGGGTAATGGTTTTATACTAGAAGAGGGTAGATTTACACTAGATATAAGGAAGAATTTTTTTACAATGAGGGCGGTGAAACACTGGACTGGGTTGCCCAGGGAGGTGGTAGATGTCCCATTCCTGGAAACATTCAAGGTCAGGTTGGACGGGGTTCTGAGCAACCTCATCTAGTGAAAGATGTCCCTGCTCACTGCAGGGGGGTTGGACTAGGTGACCTTTAAAGGTCCCTTCCAACCCAAACTATGCTATGATTCCACTAACTGGTAATGTTCTTTTTCTGCCCATATTTATGTCCCTGATGTCTAGGAAACCATCTCCAATGCCACGATTCTTTTTAAGCATTAACTCCAAAGCAGAATCGTCTCATGCTGTGTGCTCTACTGTTTAAGATATGAAAGATGACGCATTCCTGAAATATAGCCCATAGCTATATAGTTCATAGCTCGTCTCCAGGTCCTCCAATACAGATGTTCTACATGGACTGTCACACCGTTTCTTCTCCTTCTCCTCAACCACATGGGCAGAATACAGACAAGTTTCTATGAAGAAATTAAAACTAAATTTCTGGTTTGTTTGGGGGGGTCTTTTATTGATCCCCAGCAATGTCCCTTTTTTGGGTTATACCAGTTAAAATGATGCATTCAAGGTTCTCTGTGTCTGAGTTGTTAGTAATTTTGATACAAGTTACAGTGTCTTCAAAACAAGTTATAGAGTCCCGTGTATACTTTTTCACTATTTTTATGATTGTTAAATAGATTATAGCATTATTTTTATATTCCAGCCATTCAAATTGTACACGCAAGCTTCAGAAATGCTATTCATAGCACATTTCTTCTCATTAGTGATTTTTTTTTAAATTTCTCTTGCTCATTTCTTGCTCTTAATATAAATACAAAACAATGTAGATGCCCTTGTGATGTATTTATTCCCTCAGTACCCTCTTCTGATTTCACCTTGGTTACCAACCAGAAGGACTAATCCTCATAAATGAACCTTCAGACCACCTCCTGGCACACAGACGAATGCTGCACAAAGCCCCGACGTTGCATTCGTAGCAGCTGAGGACCCAGCAATCCATATTGTGTGTCTTCTTCTGGGGCCTTTCCTCAGAAGAAAGGGGCTGCCACTGGCTCTGCGCTGGTCCTGAGCCCCAGCAGCCAAACCTCCTGGAGCAGGGCTGCTCTCAGGGCCCCCACAGAGGGCTGAAGAGTGAGATAGTGGATTAATGATGAAAGGAGTTACATCACCATTTGTCTCTTCTTCATTGCTTTGAGATTCTGTCTAGTTTCCATGGGATGCCGATCTATTTGTTCTAATGCGTCAATGAAGAGAAATTTCCATATCTTCCAGTCCTGGGGAATCTTGCTATTATATGCTGCATTTCTGCCCCAAAATAAGTAGCGCAACAGATTCATGGTCTTTGCTGCAAGTTCTGAATAACTAAAATTCACATTAAAGGCCCGTAGGAAATGAAATGGTGTGCGACAATAGTTACAGGCAGTCAAACCTGGGAATACCTGGACTGAAGCTATGCCCTTCTGACAAAAGGCATTCTTGTGGATGACAACATATGCCTCATGTACACATATTACATCTTAAATGTTTTATTTCCTATAATAAATATGGCACATACGCACATTATTTTGAGTAACACTGTCAGAGAACGCAAGAACTATTATTATTATTATAGCTTAATTATTAATACAGCGAGAAGCGCAGTGACTCAGATGGGTGGCTTTAAAAACATACACTAATCATTCAAGTGGATTCAAGATAATGGCCAAGTTTTCCAAAAACTGAGGCACCTGGAGAAAAATCTTAGGTATGAACATGAGAGCGAGAACTTAAAAGAGAGAGAGGGGAGAAACTGAGGGAAAAATATTATTTCCTCCTCCCTCTTAGCCCAGATCATCATTCCCTCTCCTTTTCTTCTTCTCCTAGGGAATGGAAGAATTGCAATAAATGAATAAAGCATTTACCCAATCGCTTCTTTGGAGTCCTTCCTTTTTTCTTTTTCTTTTTCTTTTTTTTCCCCGTTCTCCAGCATTTCTCTTTCTCTGAGCTTGCTCTGAGCATGCTGATGTGTCCATGCATCCTTCTGTCCTGCCCTCAGTTTCGCTCATGCTTTCACCCAGGTGTTCCTTTACTAAAGGGCTTGAGGGATGTTCATGCCAGGGCAAACAGGAGAAGCAGCAGCACTGAACAGAATATTTAGAGCCTGAACAGGGCCTTTACTCCTGCAAGTGAGAAAGGCAAGAGCAGGGGAGGGATGAACGGTGGAGCAGCATGCTGCCTGCTGTTCTCAGCACGCAGCCAGGATGCTGCTTGTCAGTGAGGGGATCTATCAGGATCACATGGGGATGGTATTCGGCATTGCCATATGTGTTGCCGTGCATGTATGAAAAAGACAATGCAAAGTGGCAAAGGATTCAGAACTGTTTAACACGAGGGGGAATGATATTTACAGACAATTCCTCTTCAACATGGAGAATTGAACTTTTAAAAAATAATAATATTTTTCTTTACGAGAAAAAATAATGGTTGCCCCTTGCTGGCATTGTTTCTTAGCTAGAAATCAAATTCCATGTTTTACTTGTTTCTACAAATTAGAAACAAATTTCATGCCGCACAAAGCCTCCAAGCACATTACTGAACCTGTCAAGTATATCCCCATAGGTACACGGAGGCTCTCAGCAGTGAGTGAGTGGGTAAAAGACATTCAGAAAAGCCTCTCGGGGTCAAGGTTCTTTCTGAATTATTGGTTCTTTTCTCTTCAGGTTCATATGCTTTGCTCTTCATCTTTATTCTTCATCTTCAGAACCTGAATAGTCATCTTTCTTTTTGAAGTAGACCGCACCTTTTTACTATATTGACATTTCTTAACATGTGCTTACGGAATTATCATAATTTAAGCAACCCAAAGTACTGATCTCACCCTAGATAAATATACCTACTGTATTTTTGATGGACAGGTTGATGTTACCTGTGATTGCCATTTGGTAGAACGGTGTTACTGTCTCTCCATCCAGACTGGATGTTTGTATCTATCCGTCACGTTAGAAGCACAAACACACACATTTCATTCTGAGCATTTCTCTTTCCTGCCAGTACTGAGACTGTATTACTAACTTCATTTCAAATGTGTTTTTTTGTTGTTGTCGTTTTTTTCCCCTGTTCTGATTTCTTGCTTTTATGGACATCTATACAGTTTCAAGGAGCCATTTGATCTTATAAAACTGTACATTATTTGGCTGAGATTTCGTACTATCCTTCTTTTCCAAGTAAATCTGATAAAATCAGAGTATTTTACTGCAACTACAACAAATTATGCTCAGAAATATTCTCCAAGGGAAAAAATGCAAACATAAGACTGACGTTATCTGCAAAACAACTGCCACGTTTATAATTTACAGGAAACTCATAATTATGCCAGAAATCAGTTGTATGTTTTCAACGGCACGGAAGGTGTTCGTGCTGTTGTAGGTTTGACCAGCTACAGTATCTCCTCTGTACAGCTACTACATGTGCTTAAGTTTACACTGGAATTAAGACATGTAATATTTTTATAAGGAGAACTAATAATGCAAGCCAAAAGAAGCACATGATTTTCACTTTCAGAGATGACACTGTCTGTGAAGTAAAAGGCGTGAGTGAAGTCTTACCAAGAATGATAAAAGGTAATGGCAATGGATACAATGGCGCAATTTGTTTTGGCATAATAACACACAGGGTATTGTAGTTTCTTTGTGAAACAGAGAACATGTCTCAAAAGGCATTTTTCATGCGGATGTAATCAGCAACGTAGTTCACACAGAAGGTCTGTGAAAGTATTTTTAGGAAGCTATGTAAAAAGGGGAAGCATACCAAATGAAATGAAAAAGAGGCATTCTCTTCCAAATATGCTGAAATAAACACTTCCCACATGAAATTAACACTATTAAAACAAAGCAAGTTGATAACTATCACTGATAGTTAAACCTGCAGATTTTAGTAAGTCGTGCATATCAGATTACAGTGAAATGTGACACTTCAGGTAGCTCTGGCAGAATTATCTGTTCTCAGCCAGATTGGCCTTTTAATTTCATTTAGTACTGGTGGCTGAAGTTTTGGAAGGTACAGGACTTCTCATACAAGAAAATCAGTAATCGCAGGTTCCAGATGAGACAGAGGAAAACAGAAATGATGGAATACAGTAGTTACTTGCAGCAGCCTACTGTCAGTGAGAAGATGTGTCTTCTGACTGCACCACAGCAAAGGATTCTTGGAGAAATACAGTCTGCCAGAATTGAGCTTCAGTTGGTGTTCTACACTTTGCTGTGCCCTCTGTTAGAAAAACGATGCTCACAGTTATGCTGCCAGGCGCATTCAGCATATGGACTTCATATAGGGTGTCTCTCCTGTAGCCCTTTTCAAAGCTTCAGCTCTCTTTCTCGCTGGAAGATAGCCTGTATTTCCACCAGTGTTCAGTACAATAATACACTTGACTTAAGACTGATGAAAAATCACCCACGCAGAAAGTACCCTTTAACCAACAAGATATAACTGATATATGGATCATTTCTATTCAAAGGAGAACTGAAAAGTACCAATCAGGCATATTCTTCAGTATAATCCTGTGTATTTATAAAGAATGTACATAGAACCTGCTTCTGATGAAAACAGTAAAAAGCTACAATAGGAAGGTTGTTTGCTAACAGTTTTTGAGACAGCCTTCCACACAGCCCTGTGTCTTAGCAAATGCATTTGCCACCAGTTACCCAGGAAAGCCTCAACCTGCTGGGCCCTGCAAGCAGCTTGTGCTTGGGAGCGTTGATTTCCATCGTCTCTGGCAACCTTAATCCAAACCCCATCTTACCTCCTCCTTCTACTCAGCCTGAAAGAAGGTAACTAACGTGCCTGTCAGTTTTACTGCCTGTACACAGAAGGCCTGATTGACAGAAGCCAGCATCACTTTCCAGCAAGACAGTATTTTTATGGTAACTTGCTGGAACCGCTTATGTGCTAACAAAACTGGGAATTTATTTAAAGAAAAGATACTCCTGAAGATTGTGTCTGCATTGATTTTTTACCTTGTCCCGTTTCCGTTATTTACATCTGGATAAAATAAAAAGGTTTACTTCATTTACATCTGGAGAAAATAAAAACAATCCACTTTGTATGTGAATGTAATGCTGTTCAGTAATGAGGCTTCTTGCTTCAGGAAATCTGATCTTTGTTGTCCTGGATGCATTCTCTGTTCTTTCCTCTATTCTTTGTCACACAACAGAGCATTAATACTATCTGACAGAGGAATAGGAAACTGCACTGTGATCGCTTTTCATAAGCATTATTTTTCTTACCACTAAATGATCACTAGAGAGAAGTTACGCTGCAGTAGTTTGGATTGGTTTGTGAGGATTGCTTTTAATTAAGGAATGATACGCAGTTTTACAAGGCAGTTATCTAGTTCTTGAGTGTATGAACCACCACCAGACCCCTACAATCAAGGAACTCGACAGAAGAGCATTTTTCTTATGCCTTTTTCATTGCCTGTTCTCACACCTCTGTTTTAAAGCATTTTATTACGGATTGTTTTTTTGCAAACATTTAGATGCTCGTGTAACTCGGTTCGCATGGATAGAGGCACCGAAGCTGGAGCGACACCCGTGCTGGTGATGTTTATAAACTGTTTGTCGGAGGCTTTGGCCTGCTGCTCCCGGGGAGATGCTTGGCAGACACGTCTGCTGCATGTGGAAGCCTTATCACGACATTTAAACGCAAATCCATATGCGTGTGTAAATCTTGCACGGGTTCGCACCTCTACCGCCGCTTTACTTCTAGACAAGGTAAAGCTATTTGTTACGCGGGGGGCTGGAGCGTCTTCCCCCTCAGCGGCCTGTCTCACCGCTCCCCTCGGGGCGCCTCTTAGGGACAGGCGGGTATTTTTAG